TCTTCAGAGCATCAATATCAATTCCAATATGTCGGCCCCTGTCGTCACAGTTTTTAAAGCTAAAGTCACCTGAACGAAATTTGCTGAACCATCGTTGACACTTACGAACGTTCAAAACATTTGAATACATTTCTTTAATATTCTTCGTGGCTACAGAGGCGTTGTTTCCCTTGTATTCAAACAGCATTACATGCCGAATGTGTGTCATGTCGTGTGCCATCACTATAAGGGATTAGAGTATATTAAAGTTTACACATTATATAGGCTACACTAAAGTGACGTTTAGGCGGTTCGTTTAACTATTATACATGATGTACGTTTTTTTTGTTTGGGGGGGGGGGGGGTAATGAAAGTGTTCCAAAACGCGACATTAATTTCTTGACGACCTAATACTTTGAAATATTTTTACACAGTTTGAAGCTTTTAAACTCATATTCTTTTTGTCATTAATTTTAATAATTTATTTCCTATATTTTGCGCCTTGTTTCTATTTCTACGCTTTTTATAAACTTATTAGAAAATCATTATACCAAACACAGGCCCCCAGTGGCACAGCGGCATGTCTGCGGACTTACAACACTAGAATCAGGATTTCGATACCCGTGATGGGCAGAGCACAGATAGCCCATTGTGTAGCTTTGTGCTTAATTAAAAACAAACAACCAAACACAGAGAGAAAATTTAAGCGAAACAGAATCTTTTATATTATTACAATAATAATTTTAAAAATTAAAATTTTATTTCATGAAAACAAAATATTCATTACAAAATTTTCAGTTTATCGGTGTCTTAAATAAAATGAATTTCTACTTGATAATATACATATATATACTCATTAAAAAAGATATATTTGTCACTTGTGCACACATATTTCAATTTTCAAAATACTTCATGAAACAAGATTATATCTGAAACTTAAATTGCACGCATTTTACTCATAAATACACGATAGATTATAATAAATTTGTTTGTACAGCCGTTACATTTGGCCAACAGTAAGTATAACGTGTACACTAATTAAGGTTGGCTTATAACACGTGTGCTATTTCTTACAAGAAAAAATTAATAATTATGAAAAAACAAATACAAAAATCATATTGTACTATTTTTGCAAAGTCAACTACTTTGAATCAAATGTTTCATTACTTTGTTCTGACTTCAACGAAACCCAATATTAGTGAAGCTTGTCATTGAAAACAAGCTGCAGTATCAATTTTAATCCTTGTGAAAAGGATTTTGAACGTTTAGTTTAGACACGAATGTTTCATAATGGCTGAAATAATCAAATAAATATACGTATAAATATGGGAATTTTCAAAAACAAATGAAAAATGTTATAATAAATATTTTGGTTCTGTAGCTCGACGATATAATTATTATTTTAAACATGTTACACTAAATATGTTAACCCTCTAATACACGTTGAAACGTCCAGATAAATCTCTCTTGCTTAGTACAAATACTTCAGCTCTGTAATTGAATGCTCTTACTCCAAGGTAACAGTCTAAATAAACCATGGAATTATTTTTGTTGATTTCTCAATTGACCATATGGTATTTCTAGTTAACGTGCCCATTTATAATCTACCAAAATATATTTCACCAAAACATTTTTGTACAATAGAGACCTATTAAAATAAGAAATTCAAATAATGTACTTTTTTCACCGTATTTTCATAATGCGTGTAATGGAGGATTAATATAAATTCGAAATTATATTTTTTCTTAACACATGAAAAGTGATTATTAATTTTCAGTTCTTTTTAAAACAATCGTGCTATAGGTTTTATTTTTTTCAATTACATTGGTTTTGCAAATAAAAATAAGACTAGTCCAGAATTCTGTGTAACGAGCACTAGTCAAAAGGTAACGTAAAAAAAATGTGCCATCGTACTTTTTAGTAGGAATTAACCAAGATATAAATTAAGACATACCGTCTAAAACACTTTAAAAATACTCTAACTTCTTTATAGAGGTAAAGATGGTTTTCGTTTGAGCTATACTATGATAAAAGAAGTTGTTGTTTTTTTGTAACTTGTACTAATTTCGTTGTCTCCAAAATGGTAAAGTTTCAACAAAGTTTAAAACAACCACTAGAAATATTATGCCAGTTTTGATCTGAAATTCTTAAAAAACAATTACAAAACAGAAAATATCACAGAAGGAAATTCATATGTATAGATTTGTCGCGAGTAAGAATGTTAGAGATATTTAATTTGTTACTCAATAAAGGTTTTGGTTTTGATATTCCAGCCACAAACCAATATTCCACCTGGTATCCTACTTCTATATTTGAATGCATTCTATTTTCTTCTCGATCGCTAGGCACAGAATCTTTTGAAACATATAAAAAAAAAAGAAAACGGGGCACATAGATGGAAAATCAAACAGAACAGCTTATTCACACAAGTATGACATTAATGTAAATTGCTTATAGCTTTTGATTTCTATTCATTAATTTAAGTAAATTATATGGATCTAGTTAGTTGTTGGATCCACCGCTTTACGATGTATGGCTAACTAAAACAGTGACAATACCAAGCAAGACTATTTGTTGGTTATGTCACGTCTTTGTGAAGTGGGTTACCCTCGGGAATCATGTTTCAAAACACAAAAACAACATAACGAATAAAAGTCTATCTCATTATTAAATATAAATAAATAAAGGAATTGACATATAAAATAATTCTAAAAACATCAAAGCTGAAACCGGGTGCGAATAAACCCAAGACCAACTAACTTTCTGCAACATTAGCAACCATAACCACTGTCATGGGTTTGAATCCCGATTGGTATCATTTTTACCTACTCATATGGTTCATAGCTGATACATTACACTTTTCCTGAAACAAGTAAGCCTTGTGGTATTGCAATACCCATGTCCTTATTACTTGTCTTTGAAATAAGGAAAATAATAGAAAGTCCCATTTTCTTGAACCAAGTTTGTTAATAGCAGGATAAACTTCTTTCTTTAGCTAGATCTACTAACTGTAGTAAATTATTCTAGAAAAACTTATTTCTTTAAATGAGCTTACAAGTCGAAACATGACAGGAATACTTCATTATTCACATAAACCACCTATATAACCCACATGCTTGAAGGAATACTTCATTATTCACATAATCCAACTAAATAACCCACATGCTTGTAGGAATAATTCATTATTCACATAAACCAACTAAATAAGCCATTGGTTTATGTGAATAATGAAGTATTCCTTCAATCATATGGCTTATTTAGTTGGTTTATGTGAATAATGAAGTATTCCTACAAGCATGTGGGTTATATAGGTGGTTTATGTGAATAATGAAGTATTCCTTCAATCATTTTATGTGAATAATGAAGTATTCCTACAAGCATGTGGGTTATATAGGCCAACTAAATAACCCACATGCTTGTAGGAATACTTCAATATGCACATAAACCAACAAAATAAGCCATATGATTGAAGGAATACTTCATTATTCACATAAACCTACTAAATAAGCCATATGATTGAAGGAATACTTCATTATTCACATAAACCAACTAAATAAGCCATATGATTGAAGGAATACTTCATTATTCACATAAACCAACTAAATAAGCCATATGATTGAAGGAATACTTCATTATTCACATAAACCAACTAAATAAGCCACATGGTTGTAGGATTACTTCATTATTCACATAAACCAACTAAATAAGCTATGTATTTGTAGGATTACTTCATTATTCACATCGTAGCTTATTTAGTTGGTTTATGTGAATAATGAAGTAATCCTACAAATACGTAGCTTATTTAGTTGGTTTCATTTGTAGGATTATTTCATTATTCACATAAACCAACTAAATAAGCTACACATTTGTAGGATTACTTCATTATTCACATAAACCAACCAAATAAGCCATATGATTGAAGGAATACTTCATTATTCACATAAATCAATTAAATAAGCCACATATTTGTAGGAATAATTCATTATTCACATAAACCAACAAAATAAATCACATGATTGAAGGAATACTTCATTATTCACATAAACCAACTAAATAAGCTACGTATTTGTAGGATTACTTCATTATTCACATAAACCAACTAAATAAGCTATGTATTTGTAGGATTACTTCATTATTTACATAAACCAACTAAATAAGCCACATGATTGAAGGAATACTTCATTATTCACATAAACCAACTAAATAAGCCACATATTTGTAGGAATAATTAATTATTCACATAAACCAACTAAATAAGCCACATGATTGAAGGAATAATTAATTATTCACATCAACCAACTAAATAAGCCACATATTTGTAGGAATACTTCATTATTCGCATAAACCAACTAAATAAGCCACATATTTGTAGGAATAATTCATTATTCACATAAACCAACAAAATAAATCACATGACTGTAGGAGTCAACTAGTTGACCAGGTGAGTAGCATGAGTAAACCAGCTGACCTGAGTGACAGCAGGAAGAATTTTTTCTTCACAAGCACAACATAGAATATCATTCAATACAAGAGCATGTACTTTACTAATCACGTGATACGTTTTTGAGCACCTTTTCTGAACATTTTTTACATAAGTTACATACTGAGCAATACTGCAGATACTTTCAAGTTTTAGTCTACATTAAAAGTGGAACCGTCGTGTAGTGTTTGCTTTGAACAGATTTAATCTGGATGATGTTTCTGCACTAACACAATTGCCTTTATCAGGTTGAGGGTGCCGAAACGACATCCATATTTAATCCGTTCAAAGCAGACTGTCCTTTCTGAGTACACAGCACAAATCACTGTGTGTCTATGAAACATCTTAGTGACTATATACTAATATAATTACATTAACTAGTGCTTATTTCTGACAACTTGCATCTCATTCGAATTCTCTCATAAACAATCACCTCAACTTCAGTTACTATTACAAGACACAACAATTGCCTAAGCCTTGGCCTCCATTATGATGAAACACAACAATTACAATTGGCTGTCTCTCATCACCAGAGTTATATGTTATAATTGATGTATTAATAACCAATGAGTTAGTTTCACAATAACAAAATTCAAAATTTTCATTGTGCATCTCATATTTATATCTACATAATTTAACTGTTTCTTGTTTTAAAACATCATTTAAGAGCACAAGACACGGTTAACAGTATATGGTTTCAGACAATCCTCACATATGCATAATAACAATTAACATCAATGAACACATTTTACATTTGAATATTAAACGTCTCTCCATTGTTTTAATAGGATATGTTTTAACATGTTAAATATTTTTTATTAAAAGGCTTCTTACTTCATTTTACAAATTAAAAAATTAAGAATTTTTCTGATAATTGAAACCATGTCGATGTTAAATGTTTTCCTGGAGAAAATTTGTTAGGAAATATTCTCTCTAAGCACATGATAAAAAAAAATCATATCACGTTATTTGTAGTACTAAAACAACGCATTTCCTTGCGATAATAACACATTGAATTTCTCAATCAAATAATTAGCACTGGATTTAATTAATATTCCAGTGTCTTGTATTCACTGTTATAAAGATGATGCAGAACAATGTTTATAAAATCCGGGATGCATGATTCGATTCCATGAACATCATGTTGCTAATTAGTCAAGGCTTGAGCCAACAGTTGTTGCTGTTGCCATTTAAGCGTTGGTTTTTCCTTTTCTCTCTTGACACCATATAGCTTCCTGGGTGACCAATGCTCCTTGGCTGAAAGGTAAAGACGTAGTTAAGAAGCTAAGATACTTTTTTTATTATCGTTCTAAAAGCGGCAAAACACTGAAGATAATACTGAAAGTTTTATAATATATCACGTGTAATGTCATAAATGCACTTATATTATAGTTAACTCAGAAAAACAAGCTGGTCACTAGCCAAGTATGGTCCAGTGGCTATTGTGTCCACCTGTGCATTGGAAAGTTTAAGATTAAAATCGTGATATGCCCCTAAACACATTCCCCCACTTTCAACTATGGGGATGTCACAAATGTGACAGTCCATCCCACTATTCAGTGAACAGTGTGTAGGCGGTGAATGATAATGGTTGGTTTCCCTTCCTCTGGAATTTTAGAGGTCTTTACCTGGCCATTTAGCCTATGTGTAGCATAAGGTGTTGTTTGTGTTGAAAATATCAAACACCAACAAGTCAAATTTATCATCATAGATTATTTACGATATAACGGAAGGCCACAACGTAATTATTTTAATTTGACTCATAAGTGCAACACATACCAGTAAACCTATATTTCTTTTTATTTATCTAGTCTTAGCAACAGAAATGGATAGTATGGAAAGTGAAGAACCAAATTATGCAAAGATAAAATATCATGTCCATCAAGTTAAATGTAATTTTTTAATAAATATAATTATTTCTTCTCATTTAACCTCTTATTAAACAAAACAATTTCTTCATTTTCTGAGGCAGGGGTCTTTTTCCACTTCCTTAAAGATATTTTTTCATTTTGTATTTAATTAACTTTAAATTACCCTGCTTTACTGCTTTTTCAATAACAAAAATTAAGTTTGAAAAACTAATATGAAACTACTTACAGAATTAAATATAAGAGAGTCTTCAACCAATATAAACCTAAATTAAGAGTAAGTCAAAAATAACCTGAATATATATGATTATATTTATTTGTAAAGGTGTGTTGATAGTTAAATATCACTTAGATACAATTACCTGCTGAATCAGAGCCTTGGTTGGAGATATCAGAGTTAAAGCTTTGAATGGAAACACCGGAATCGGAGTTAAGTGTGGAATCATTAAAATCAGAGTTACAGTCTTGGCTAAATGAAAATGTATCATCAGTAGTGCTTTCTATTTTTCGACGTCTTTCAGCTAGAATAGCCTGTAGTTCTCTGCTACTAAATGTTTTATACTGAAAAAACATCAGCAAAAAGAAGTTTTAGACATTCTTATATCATAAAAAACTCATACTGTTTGTCTGAGATCAGCATTATTGAGAATCAGGTAATAAATACTGTTGATATTATAGAAACCAGACTGACTGTTGTGTGTCACTGGTATACAAAATCAGGTTACAAATCTAGTCAATAATAAAGAAACTAAATTGTGGGTTGTAGGTCAGTAATACATAATCAGGTTACAAATCTAGCTGATAATAAAGAAACTAAATTGTGGGTTGTAGGTCAGTAATACATAATCAGGTTACAAATCTAGCTGATAATAAAGAAACTAAATTGTGGGTTGTAGGTCAGTAATACATAATCAGGTTACAAATCTAGCTGATAATAAAGGAATTAAATTGTGTTGTAGGTCAGTAATATACAAGATCAGGTTATAGATCCTACTGATATTAAATACATGAGATCATATGTTGCTGGTTAGTGATATACATAATTAGGTGACAAACCCCACTGATATTTTTCTGAACAGTTAGGTGGCTGTGGAGTCGACCTCCTTCCTCATTTCCAAGAACTTCCTCCAGACGAGAACGGGTCAGCTTAAACATCATCTTTCCAGTCATCCCATTAAACAAATCCCTGATCCTATAAAAGGAAAAAGATCTATTAAAAATAGTTTTTAAATAATCAAAAACATGTCAATGTAGTGATTATAATAACGTTTGAATGTATATGATTTTTCTTGTAGTGGTTTAGATGTATAGTCCTTTACTCACCACTAATAACTTAAAATTCTCTAGGTGTTTGGATAACATTTGACATACCATCAAAATTAATTATCCATTATTTTTCAGCAGTGTACTAACTGGGCTTTTATTTGTTTTTTGAATATATTTTTCTCCCAAAATGTGAATTTCATGACGAAAAGATGACATAGAGTCCTAATCTATTCTTTGATTCACTACTTCCACTGCAACAGACTAGTTTCACTGAATTCACAGCTCATCAATGTTACTTGGAAGTATTATACATCCAAACAAAACAAACTGCTCATGGAATTCTAGCCAATACTTGTCAAACAACACCACAGAATTTTCACCAATGCATGTCACACATCATTATAAAATTCTAACCACAACCTGTCAAACAACATCACAGAATTCTAACCAGTGCATGTTAAACAACATTACAGAATTCTAACCAGTGCATGTTAAACAACATTACAGAATTCTAACCAGTGCATGTTAAACAACATTACAGAATTCTAACCAGTGCATATCAAACAACATCACAAAATTCTAACCAGTGCATGTCAAACAACATCACACAATTCTAACCAATACATATCAAACAACATCACACAATTCTAACCAGTTCATGTCAAACAACAGCACAGAATTCTAACCAGTGCATATCAAATATTGGTTAGAATTCTGTGATGTTGTTTGATATGTATTGGTTAGAATTCTGTGATGCATATCAAACAACATCACAGAATTCTAACCAATACATATCAAACAACATCACAGAATTTTAACCAGTGCATATCAAACAACATCACAGAATTCCAACCAATACATTGTCAAACAACATCACAAGATTCTAATTAATACTCATCAAACAGCACCTCGGAATTCTAACTTATGCAGGTCATAAGGCATCACATTTACCGAGTGATATGGAGCAGGCTTACAAAGTAAAACAGTATGATTTCCATAAGTTCATTACAGATGATTGCAACAGAATTATATGTCAATGGATACAACAAGAATGTAGTAAATGTGATGCATCATAAGCAACTCACAAGGTAAGACTATGCTGTTATTTCACAATAAGAGCTTAGTGTTAGTGTTTCATATTAAATCTACTTACTTTGGGACAAAGTCCTTAGACTCTAGCCACTCTTGGACTTCAACTGGCTTTGACTCAGCAGTTATGTACAATCCATCCCAGTGGTTTAGATTTATCTTTCCCCACTTTTTATTCGTATTACAGCCTAAAGTCACATGTTCATAAAGTTCTTTCTTCAGGCAGTCATGTGCATCTCTGGGGACAGACACATCTTTCTTCTTCACAACGAAGGCTGCAAAAATGTGTTTGTCAACTAGCAACAGTGATATACAGTAATATACCATCAAGGTTATAACTAATATGTATGAGCTAGCAACAGTGTCATAAAGATATTCAATAGCACACCAACAAGGTTATAACTAATATGTATGAGCTAGCAACAGTGTCATAAAGATA